TAGATATCTGAAATGTGTATTTCAGATAGTCAGTAATTCATTCTAGATATCTAAAAATGACGTCTCCATGCAAGTATATGGTAAATCTGACATCATTTCGACTAGTCAGAATTTACTTAAAGATATCTTGAATAGGTATTTTGACTAGTCAAAATATAATTTAGAGATATCTTAAATCGTTAAAACGTCTAGTCATAAAACAATTTGAGATATCTCTAACGTAAAGGCGTTACAACCAAATGTATGTTAAAATGGCATGCCATACTCTCTTTACCTCATGGCACTGTCACACATCACTGGAGTGCTAAGAGTAAACACCGACCTAAGCTAGAGTTAGGTATTAATCATTTGAAGGTCATTTGTATCTTTCTTTAACTGACTTCGTCCCTTTTAGATCTTAAATTATTAATATATGGGAAATGGCTGTGTAAATGTGAAGAAGTCATCTCCAGAGATAGGAAAAAATTAACTTTAATAAATGAAAATTTCATGAAAGCTATACAAAACAAAATTTCGTTTTGTATACACTCTGTGTACACAGATTGACAATAAAAGTTTTCTAAGCCTGAGTCTAAGGTTGGAGGGAAGGTAGAGCAAATGATAATGGATTTTCCAGTGGGGCTGGTCTGGTGTAAATTGTGTTTTATTGTAATAAGCTTGTTTTAAATCAGAATCATGAAGAAAACTAAAAAGTTACAAACAAACAAAACATTTAGGGCATTACTGCCACCTACTGGAAAAGCTCTTTTACAGTATTGGTCATTTTGTGCATTTTTCACATCACTATAACCATTTTGCACAACAGCTAATGCAGTTTTTAAAACAATTAATACAAACTGCAAAACCTTGTTGATAAACTGCTAAGGCATGTCAGCTCCTAAAAATAATGTTTACCCTTTTATTTGTAAATACATGTTTTGCTTTATCTAACTCCTGATTGTTTAATTTTTCGACACTTTGCATCAGTTTCTAAAAGTTATGTGGAGGAGTTTCAAAATACTTCTTTTGCACAAAATATTTTTCTTTCATTCAGGTTTACAGATAGTATGTGATTCTGAGCTACTCGCTTTATATCCTCCAATTTCTTACTTTTATTCGGTTGAGTTCAGGACACTGGATGTGCCATTCCCTTTCACCTTACCTGTTATAGATTTGTTGCTATGTTTGGGAACGTTATGCTTTTTCATCCAAGCTTCATCACTTAGATAGATGGCCACATGTTTGGGTCTAGGCAAAACCAATGCTGCCTTAAGGTCAAAAATCTGTATCATCTCAGGTAAGCTTAGAAATATTGGGATCCTCTGGTTTTGCAAATCAAATGTTTCTTGATTCTTTATATTTTGTTAGTAGTTCTATACAACTGCCCTCTTTTTAAATTGTTGTTCTTCGTATGGATATTTTTCTCTTTAGAATGATTGTCTTTAAACCAATTTCATTTTACCATTGCATTACATTAATAAACACATGCTGCAGACCAGCAAACCAAACTCTTCCTAACTCATTTTACTGACATATATATGATGAAATATTGCATTGTGAACTATGTAGTCCACATTTGTTATGAAATATTGGCTGTACAGCCTGGAAGAAATATACATGCCTTCACCGTGACCCTCACACCATTTGGTTGCCGCCCATTGCATCTTCGGCATCACTCCACTTTTGATGTCTAGCCTCTACATTAGGGAAAGCTTGAAAAATATGAGACATCTCGCTGCCGAAACATTTTTTTTGACTTAAAGACTAGCTAAAAAAAGAAAGGTTTCTGTCACTGTGCTAGTTTCTACTTAGGGACAGCAGAAAAAAGGGCCAGTTGTTTAAAGTGCAGGTGAACCGCATTCAAGTTAGGTGCTTCCTGGAGAAAGCAGATAATGACAGCTCTTCATAGATTTGTTTTGGCTACATACTGTAGTGGAGCTGTTGCTCAGAGAGCAGGATGGAGAATTACTCAGACATGCTGGAATCAAGTTAAATACCTACTGGACATGATTTTAAAAAAGGAATAGCATTATAACGGTTGGAGAAAAAAAAGTTTATTGTGCATGATTTAGGAGCCTTAAAGTGACAAAACAGTCCCTTGCTGCTACCTTTACTCTTCAGCTCTATAAAAGCAGTAAGTGTATTTTTCCATACAAAACCCCTCTATTGTTACTATTGTTTGATGAAATGACAGCGTTAAGTAATTGTTTTTTGACTCTGAAGGTGAGTGCCCATTCTTTTTATTGTTAACACCACAAATACTCAAGCTCTGCTATTGCAATTTATTTAATTTTTTTATTGTGCCATCATCAAAAATTTAATTACAGAAAAATACAAAACAGTTGTATTCAACTGAAGTAATCACAATCACTGTTGCTTAAACCAAACTACACAGGTTTACAGCAGAACAATCTTTTACTGAATTTTCTTAAAACACATTTCTACTTTTATCTTTCTTTTATTCAGTTTCATCCAATGCCACACATCGGAAAATATTTATATACTTTTTGCTCAAAAATCTAAGTGGCTAGAAGATTGTAAATTTAGGTTTGCTTCAATCATCTAAAATATGACTAAGACGCATTTAACTCATGAGTGTGCTTTTTTTTTTAAAACATAAACAAAACAGGAAATATTCATTCCAGACACATATGTACTCCAAAACAATTATTTGAACACATATAGAAATGTAATATCTCCCTGCGTCAAATGTACTTTTCAGTCATGGTGGATAGAAGGCAGACCCCCTTTAAATTAAACAGTTTCCATATTTTAGCCTGTTAAAAATTATATGAGGATATTATTTTAATTTAATTGATCCATTCGTTTATATTCTACAGCAGGGGATAAATCTATTCTTGTATTGACAGCCACCCCAGAAACAAACCCCAAAAGAAATGCCACTTCTAGTTGTCAGCATTGACTATTAATGCCTAAGGGGCTTGTTAAAGGTTCACACCATCAGCAGAGTCCTGACATAGCTAAAGCATTAATCGCCAACATAAGCGGTGGCTGAGTCCACTTACTAACTGTGACCTACCCTAATAGAGTTAGTAGGGGATACTTCATTTTTCACAACTTTTTTGTGTTTGCATTATGTGGTATATTATGACATTATAATCTTAGAACTGGGAGAGGATGTCCTTCTTTTTTACCATGACTTTATATGCAGTGGACCAATCATTTGCTGAAGACAGTTTACACTCACATAAAAGTAATGTAATAAGAAACAAGTTTATGCCATACTGAAAAAGCACAGTTCTATTAAAATTCTACTGTTGAAGCACATCTACATTCATTAAACTGAAGACGTTTAACAGTGAATTCCCCACTATTGCTCATCTCATGGTTTTAGTTTGATTAACATGTCAACTCTGTGGTATTGTACACATATTTACACTTTGGGTAATGTTCATTCATGCTTTAGATTAACTTAGTTTTGGGACATTGCTCGATAACCTTTCACACTCAGAAGGCTGAATAGGAAGATAGATTTAATTCAAAGCAGAATTACATGTGAGCTTTGTAAAAAATGTTCAGAAGTGCCTTTCTTTGGAAGACTTTTTTTACTCATTACTTGTGCAATTTGATTTGAAAACAAAAGAAGAATCCAAGGGAGTTAAATAATACATGGGATAATATTTACTTATGGTTTACACTTTTTAAGCACACAAATATGGCAATTTATAGAATACTCTTATATTATTAAAACAGAAATCCTGCAATATTCTGGATGCTGGATTTTTAAAGATTATATTATCCTCTCCAATTAAGTGCAAACCGTGTCTTTTCTGTCAAGGTAACTAATTTTAGAACTAATTGCATCGCCTTGCAAATGTGTTTCACACATTAAAAGGTTTTGCAAAGCCCAGTAAAAATATCTTGAAACTTCCATTTCTCAGCTGTAGTCTATGATGTCCATCGAATAGATACTTGAAATTCTATAGCTAGTCACTCCTCTTCTTGTTGAAGTATATTCATAAAATATATAGAATAACTTATTTCACATCTAAAAATAAAGAACTATATTTGTAAAATAATCTAATTTTTTAGAATATATTATGAGAATAAATACATCTTTATCTACAGAAAGTGCACAAGTATTACTGAATATTTTTGTTCCTAAAGTATGTATCATTTAAAGTGACATTAATGTGGGATAAATAAAGAGAACATGGCTTAAATATAGCTAATAAATTAAATATAAATATATCACAGCTGACTATAAAATTGATGCAAACTGAAGTCAAAATATGATTCATCAAAGTAGAAATATTCAGAACATCCAGAAACAAATGCAATAGTTGCTGTTTTCATTTGTGTGGATTACGATTTATATTTCTGTCTAAAAACTTTGAATCTATTTTTCCATTAAGTAAAATAAAAGAAACAAAAAAAAAATAACTGAAAAGAAAGATTGCACTCTTAAAAAAAATGTCAAATAACCAGCAGTGTTTTCTTTCATTGCAGGTCACACCTGTTATTTTTTCTATAATATCTATAAGCAACTTAAAAAGTCTTACAATTTTTATACCATAGGCGACCGGGTTCCATCAAAACCACAACAGGATTAGATAAATAATATATTGAGAATAAGAGCTAAGTTCTATGAATGGCTTGGATCAATTATGGGAGACATCAATGACCAATTTGTTTTAAACAATTTTTTAACGAGGGGGAAAATTGTTTTAAAACTCACGATTTGTCTGCCCTCCAGAGTGCAGTCTTCCTAAAATCTAAGCATATCAATTATAAGGTCAACTGGTGGTGAACCAGTTATTTTACTGGAAGAAAATTTGGAAGATTCCAGCCTGTTCATGTAAATAACGGAACTTCCTTGCATCATAGTTTGCTGTGACGATCCACAGGACCTCTTACTCAAATATACTTTCCAAAAAACGTATGTATGGCTAATAAACTACTCTGCAGAAAGTGTCACTTTCTATAATTCAGATAAAGCATTTGAAAAAAAATCCTTTCCTATTTCTTGGACAGGGCTTCAGTTAGTTCCTATTCTTTTTTCTTATCATGCAAACACTTTCTTATCATGCAAAGACTCTCTTTGCCCTCAGATCATACTTTTATAATAGATTTGTTTTTCCAAGTCTTTTAAAGTCAAAATGGCAGGCAGAGCCCTCACCTTTCTGTGCTTCAGAACTTGCTGGATTTAAAAGACAAAACATACTAACTTTAGACCTGGCTTAGTTTTTTCCTTTAAAATTAACAGTAAGAAGTAATTATAGTAATTTAAGTCAACCTATCACCGATCAGTCAATCAATCGGTTTTTATATGTGGTTTCTCAGCTATTACAATAATATATTATGGTCGAATTTCTCATGTTGTGGTTCTCTTAATGTTATTTTATAAAAAACAGAAAACAAACCTCTCAATATGCGAGCTTTAAGGGGAACATGCATTTGGTTTCATCACATGAGCTAACTGATCTCAGTCCTTTTGATTAAGTAATATCTGTATTTTTTTTTTTTTTTACAGATTTTACTTACTGAAAGTGATGAATCATCAGGAAAAATATTTACTAAGGTTAGTTGATGGGCATGTTTTCTTTCCCATTGGTGGAGTCATCATCTCAAAGCAGAAGTAGCACATCTTTTCTTAAGAATGCTTCATAAAAACATTGCATCTTGTAAAATGCATATAACATTCTTTGCCTGATAATTTTCCATATACATTTTTGTGACAAAAATAAAGCACAGAATATTCTCTTTTCCTGTGTATTTCTGCAAATTATGATTCTGCCACTTACTTGTGTTTCTCTTCTTCCCGATTGTTCAGGATTTTCTGTTTTTTTGTTTCTCTGCCTTATGCGTTATATTAGAGATGTAAAATTGATTATATTACTAGGCTGTATTTGGCCAGAAGGAATTTAGGAACATTTTAAAATACAGAGAGGAGAATGTTTTTACAAGTTTAGGTGGAAAATATATCATCAGTTTATGAAAAAATGGCTACACCAGCTTGTTTGCTTGGTGATGTTTTTCGTATATCTCATTAATTGGGATTGGCTAATGTGAACAAAACTTGAATCTCTACTCTATAGAAACAAACCTAAAAAAGACAGAGGTACACATGTGAGTGTACTGCAAAAATGACTTTCTCTTTATGATTGTGTCTAACATTGTTAGGTCTGAAGAAGCTGTTCTGGTTGAAGTGGTCAACATTGGCCTCTCCTGGTCCAGAAGTACAGCTAGATGATACAGCTGGATTTCTTTACTCATCAATGAATGCAATCCCTTCAATCCTGTAGAAGGAAACAAAAAATCTGCGTCATTACAACACAGAGCAGAGGGTGACTAATTGTATTAAGGATTAGAAGAACTAGAGCAAAAACAGCAAATCTTTAAAAAAGCATAAGATACAGTGGACAACAGGATTATTTTCTAAAGGGGGAGATAATGGGGGAAAGAGGGTATGGCCTTGCCTTTTTAGCAGCCACAGGACGAATGTCTTTCTGATTGGAGTTCAGGGATTTCCACACAGTGGTTTTAGACATTTCATCAGATATGTTAATATCAGAGGGATCACACCTGAGGATCAGGGGCAGTAAAAGGGTAAGATTATGGGGAGGTAACAGAGCAATATGCAGGAATCAGAGGGGAAACAATATGACATAGTAACCCCCCCCACCACATACACACGCACACACACACACACACACACAACAGGTAATAAAAATCACAGGCATGCAAGAAGACAGATGGGGAAGTGACAATCTCTCTAATGATCCTATTAATCAAGTCCGTCTTTATACAGTACATGTGTGCATGTCTCACTTGGGATCATGTGCTTTATGAACAACTCTGCTGCTCTCCATGGGAATCTGAACAGAAGCTGAATCAAGTTTCTTCAAGCTGAGCATTTCTTGCGATTCCTGCATGATGCAAACACAAAAAATTTAGAGGCTTAAAGACAAATAACATTTCAAGGTGTGCCCTCAGATTACCTCCTCCAACGTTTTGGAAGCGTCATCCAGATTCTTCTTTTTCCACTCAGGCATCAAGTCATCCAGATAGCTCAGTTCTCGTTTAGAGAAGCACAAGTCCAGCAGCTTACGGATAAAAACTAGAGCCAGGACCTGCAGGAACAGGTTCAAAACAGTTCTCAACTAAGCAGAAGGTCAAAGAACAAATATGTTCTTGTCTAATGGAGGTGATTACCATCATGGGGAAGATGATTGCAGCAGGAGAGGTCTTGATGACCCAGAGGAGCACCAGACAGGTGAGCTGAGTGATAGTGAACAGGTGTACCTTTCTCAAAGGAACATGTCTCAGATAGATGAAGTCTGGCTGATGCTTTGCCGGCATACCAAAAAGCTTTAGGCGGTCAAAGAACTAAGAGCAGAAAAGAAGCAGAAGAGGTAAATAAAGCAATCAGATTAGATGAAGAATACTAAAATGAGCAGCATGAATTAAAAAAAAATGTACATATGCTTTGTATGAGCATTGTGAGGCATGTGTAAGGTTACATGCTGATTTTTAACTTAAAAAAAAAAAAAACGATTAAAACACACCAATATCAAAGTAAAAAATAAAACTAGGTCATGTAAATAAAAAAAAAAGGAATCTTCTTAATCAGTGAGATTTACTCATTTAATTTTGTTACTTTTCTGATATTGAATCTCACAAAACAGCATAAAAACACATAATTACAAAGTTTAAGTAGAAGGATATAAGGTTTTTAAAATCCTTTAAAAAACAATAATCTGAAAAGTATACTGTATATTTGCTTTCAGATGTTTTTACGCTGATATCCCTAATTGAAAGAGTACAAAATGTCATTAGGCATCTCCTAATCAGTAAATGGACCATCAAAGAGCAATTACCGCAAATCTCCGATTTCACCTCAACAAATAACTCCTATTATATAAACGGTAAAGGCAGTATCATGCTGTGGGGGTAAATTTAGGGAAGTTTCAAAGTTTATTAGAAGATGAATGGATAAAAAATACATAACAATTGTGAAAGAGACCCTTTAAATACCACAAAAGGCCTAAAACTGAGGTGCAGGTTCACCTTCCTGCACAATGAGGACCTAAAGAAAACAGCCAAAGCTAAGGAGAAATGGTTTAGAAGAAGAACATTTAAATGAGCTAGAAAGCTCTAATCAGAAATATTATTAATTTAAAGTTTTGCAATCTCTTGCAAAACCTGGAAACTGATGAGACTAAATGGGAAAGAGTTTATGGGTAATTAATCCTTTGTGAGGCACTCTAAATAAAAACGAAAGCAAGGAATCCAGAATACTTGTTTTATTATTAGGGCCCACTTCTGAGCATATAAAATCCACACAAAGAAAGACTGGAAGAACATACGCATACACATTAAAAAAAATAAAAAATTAACATAAAATCAATAAAAAAAATACTTTACTTTTTTTTGTAAATCACATTACAACTAATTTTCCTCTAGAGATCATATTACTCATTATCGAAGAGCTATCCTTAAAAATACAGAATAATACATTATTTATAATGTACTATATAAATATATAATATTTGTTAAACATAATCTTATAATATATTAATATATAAAACTTTGTGTTTATCATATTAATATTTAATTGCAAAATATATAACTTTGTATATATTTCATCCAGTTTCAGGTCAGTTTAAATAGTTTCTAATCTAAATAAATATGTGTAAACTAATTGAAAGGTAATTTTAGAATTTGTTTTGGTCTTTTAAGGGGTTGTAATATATAAGAGATTATTGTGATACTATCTCTGACTCATCTTTCATGTGATTAAAATGAGATCTAAGAAGCCTTCTATTCATTGTGACAGCAGCTGTCTGAACTGTGGTCCGATCCAAGATGGCCGCCATCCAGGAGGCCGACGTGCCTCGAGGACGAGTGTCCAATGAGGCGTCTATGTATATAATGTCTATTTGTATAAAGACAGACCGTTGTGTAACTTCCTTTCTTATTTTATATTTCCGTTGCAGCTTTTACATATATCTGTTGCGGCTTTTATATTTGTGTTGCAGCTTTTGTATTTAAGCTGCGGCTTTTGTATTTGCGCTGCAGCTTTTGTATTTATGTTGCATCTTTTATATTTGCATTATGGCTTCCGTATTTGTGTTATGGCTTTTGTATTTGTGTTGCTGCTTTTGTATTTATGTCGCATCTTTTGTATTTGCGTTATGGCTGTATTTGTGTTGCAGCTTTTGTATTTATGTTGCATCTTTTGTATTTACATTATGGATTTTGTATTTGTGTTGGGGCGTTTGTATTTGTGTTGCGGCTTTTGAACTTATGTTGCATCTTTTGTATTTACATTATGGATTTTGTATTTGTGTTGGGGCTTTTGTATTTGTGTTGCGGCTTTTGAACTTATGTTGCATCTTTTGTATTTGCATTATGGATTTTGTATTTGTTTTGGGGCTTTTGTATTTGTGTTGCTTCTTTTGTATTAGTCTTGACACCTCTGGGCCACCATAAGAACAACATTGCCTGCGTTACTCAAGAAAAACCAAGTCAGCTTTTGTTTCACCAGTCACAGTTAGAGTACCGTAATCCTAAATTCCTAAAAGCAAGCAGTTTGCTACTTATATATCTTAGGAGAAATAAGTCACAAGCTACTGAGGGTTGGGCATGAGGTTTATCAGTAGGATCAGCAGTGTCTGTGATGGATCAGAATGAGGAACAGACTGTATAATGTCTGTGGATGATGTCCAATAAAAAACAACAACAAACAAACAAACAAAAAACTTATAAGCTGAAATAAAAGATAAGGACAAGATATATTTACTGCTTTCAGACCAGGTTATCTGGGTTTGAAAGGGTAGGGTTAGGCTTTTATTAAGTAAAAATGATTTTAGAGGTAATTCAATAGATGTCACTATTATGGCCTGTGGCTACACCAAAACACACAAATGTAGACTCAGAGGACTTTAACATGGATGTCCATGTATTCTAACAAGAAGTAAAATAAGTCAATATAAATGTGTTTAAAACAACCAAGTTTGTTAAAAAAATAGGAGAAAAAAAATCACACATAAAGTTGTCTATTGGATAAGCAAGTTCTTCTGTCACATACAGGCCTGTATATAAAAAAATAAAAGGTTTTATATATACATATAAACTTTTATTTTATTATAATACTAAACGTATATAATTCTCTTAATGTTTTCCTCTTCCTGTGAAATCAATTAAACTGCTGAGTGTCGCAGGAAGACTGATTGTGCGTTTGCACCAACAGTGCATTCTACCCCACTGTTGGTCAATCAATAACAAGGCAGGGCATAGTGGGAACGTCTAGTACAATGGCTGGGTAAAGTGACCATGAAACAGATGAGGTCTTTTTCAAGTTTATACTATTTTTACAGAGGTTTAGGAAATCGAGGTCAGCGCTGGAAATAGACCTTTAGTCAATGTCATTGAAAAAAAGTATCATTTGATACTCTTTGTGGAGAAAAAATAACCTTAGATAGATGTGAAAATCATAAAGAAATTTATTTAGTTTTACCTGAATTCCTTTCAAAGATGATGCTCCCATGTAAAGAAAAACTCCATAGAGGACAGGCATAGGAATAAACTGAAATAGGAAAATAGAGAGTTACACTTTAACAGGCCCATGACATTATAAGTACAACTGGGAATTCCACAAAATATTTATAATATGATATAAAATGTTGATATAATAAAATATTTGGCACACTAATTTTTATATGCTAATTATACACAAATACATTTCCATATTTTTTAACTTGTCACATATTATATGGTATAGCAGATAACACCATCCCTACTAGAACAGTGAATTACCTCCCTTATATTAAACCATGGAAAACAAGTGAGCTTAAGCAACTGCTTAACAAGAAAAAAACAAGCATTTAATAAGGGAGACAGGGAATTAATGAGGAGTGTACAGAAGCAACTTAAGGTCAAGATAAGAGAAAGCATGGAGACAGGCTGGAGAGGAAATTGCAGTAAAACAGTATCAGAGTTATGTGGTCAGGGATGAAGAATGTCACAGGGTTCAAGCAGAAGGATGATCGGACAGATTGAAAGTCTGTACAGGGCCTATGAACTGAATAGATTCTTCAACAGGTTTAGTTCAGGCACAAGCTCAGCGTCTTTCTCTCTTGCCCACATTTGCATGGATAACCTGCCCTCTCCCACCATTGAATATCCTTCTTCTATGAGTTTGATGTCAACCTAATAGGTAGAAGGTGCTACTCCTTCCGCCTTTCCCATGTCTGTCTCTAGAAGTCAAGTACAGAGGCAGCTGGAGAGACTGAATCATAACAGGTCAACAGGTCCTGGTGGTTTCATCCCCAGACCTCTGTCCAGAGCAGCTCTGTGGGATTCTGCAGCACCTCTTTAATCTTAGTCTGACTCTGGAGATGGTTAGTGGTGTGGAAGACCTCCTGCCTGGTTCCACTATCAAAGAAGACTCCACCAACAGGTCCTCAGTGACTATAGACTGTTGCCCTGACATCCAACTTTATGAGGGTCCTAGAGAAACTTCTGTTGGTTCACCTCAGCAAACAAACAAGCAGCTATTAGGACCCCCTGCAGTTTGCTCTTCGCTGTGAAGTTGGAGTTCAGGATGCCATCATTCACCTGTTTCAACAAACCCACTGCCATTAAGACAAGGCACACAGCACTGTGAGAATCATGCTTTTTTAATTTCTCCAGTGCATTTAACACAATTCAGCCTGACCCTACTTTATCAGAAACCCCAGAAGACCCAGGTGGAGGCATCAACAATTGCCTGGATGAAAGACCACCTGACAAACAGCCTGCTGTTAGTTACTAGACTGACGGTCAGTTGTCTAATGGTCAGTTGTCTAATCAAGTAGGAGCACCACAGGGGGTGGTACTCTCACCCTTCCTTTTTACTCTGCACACTTCTGACTTCCAGCACCAGACTGAGTCCTGTTATCTGCAGAAATACTCAGATGACTCTGCAATCATTGGGTGCATCAAAGATGGACAATAAGCTGAGTACAGAGAGCTGGTGAACTGCTTTGTGGCATGGTGTGGAAACAATAATCTGATCCTAAATGTCAACAAAAAAGTGAGATGATTATAGATTCCTACCTACAGCTATCTACACATATAAGAACTTGATGAAAAAAACAAAACTATGAGTTACTTTTCCCTTTGGGATTAATAAAACAGTTTTTAATTGAATTGAATATTATCCTGGCCTTGTGTTTGCGACTCACCTGCAGAGCTCCTGTCATGAAAACGGAGCAGCCCATGAGCAAGAAGATAACCAGGCCTGTGAGCCTCTGCTCTCTTATGCCCAGGAAACGTGGCTGCTCTCCTGGAGCTGCGCTCTCTGACTCCAGTTTCAGGCTGTTAACGTGTGAAATGGACAACACGGTGGCGGCCACAAACCATGGCAATCCCATAATGGAGCACACAGCCAGCATTGACCCTACCATCAGCAAGTCCAGATGGTACCCACAGCCTTTCTGTAAAACAGAAAGTGGGTCAAATACAGCTCCAGAATCCAAGTGTAAAATAGTATTTTCATTTTCTTTCATTTTCTTCTTGCCAGTAGTTTGTGTTCTTTTCGGTTAATAATGACTGCAGTTATCTGTTGGTCCATGAAGATGAGAATGGTACAAAGGAGCGCAGGTATAGATGCAACTAGGGTTGTCCACCAGGGGTTGGGCCCGATCGGATTGATGAGCCAACCACGATCATCTCTGGTAGGCTGCATGTATAGAGCAGAGATGAGTTTTAGCACTTCTGTAATTTACATTGGGAATCTGGTAATGTTTATTACTGTTTCCCTGCAACTGTTTATGGTCCTCTCAAATATATATGTGCTGTAAACTGGTCAAATATGTTGGATTTCAGGCTTTGTTTGCTCATTTGACAATTTTAACTTTTTGCTGAACTTATGTATTTAAATATAAAGCAAAGTTGTCTTTTTAAGTAATTTTTGCTTAGTTACATCTAAGAAATATATTTCTGATAAATGTATTTTACCTGAAATTTACTGGGCACCTTCAGCTTCTGGGATGGCACTCCAACGACAAAGTCAAGCAGGACCATGATAACAATTGTGAGAAACACTGCAAAGTCGCTGATCATGGAACGAATCTAGGAGGGACAAATTAGTGCATTTAGACATGTTACTACAAACATCAGGTTGCAAGAAAACAATCTAAGATAAACTTCAGTGTCCTCCCGAGGTTATTGATCCTTTTCTGCCTTTTGTCCATTGTAAACCTGAATATATGCTTTGCGGATTTTACGTGTGATTACTGGGTTTTCAAACTTTTTTTTTCACAAATCCAAATCTTAAAACAGATTGCCAACAAAGGAACTCTTCATTCCTTTATAAAACATTGAGTCTTGTCCCCTTTACTCTTATACTAAATGAAATTCAGTACAACCAAATGTATGCCTTTCTATCAGCCCCCTTGTATTCATATTTTGTAAAATCATCCTGTAGCACAAATATAGCTAAATGCCTTTTGAGGCAAATCCTTAATAGCTTTAATTATCTAGAGAAATGTTGCCCATCCTTTTTTTCAAAATGACCAAAGCTGGAACTGGATGGAAAACCAGCCATAAATAGAAACTTTTAAATCCTTTACTCAGTCTGGGTTTTACCTGGACCACTCTAACTAAGAAATATCCTTGGATCCAACGCATTCCTTTGCAGCTCTGGCTGTATGATTATTGTTCTGCTACAAGTTAACCTATAACCCATTCTGCATGATCCTGCAACCCACTCTTTACATAAAGATTATTTGTTCAGGATAGAGTGCATTATTACTCAAATTGTTTTTAACAGTCATCAATGGTCCCTTTTTGCCAGTTTTCCATAAGGGCAATGCCGTGCAAAAAATAAAAAAAACGAGGCAATGCCTGTGAGCTAGTTCAAGAAATGAACTGAAGCTGTGCTTCTGCTCCACAACTGGGTGACTTCTTAACAACACGTTAATTATGCCACCGTTGTTCTGTAAAGAAAGGAACAGGCCATTTTCTACAGATTAAAACAACACATTAATGTATGGATCATTATTGATACCAAGGGCCATGAATGCCAAAAATGAACCAAAAATGGCACAGCCTGGGGGAAAAATGCTATGTTCCACATGCATATTTTGCTGTTGGTGTAAATATCTTGACTGATCCAAACAGAAAGTGGTCACTCATGTAGCCTACATGTAGGATGTGTGCATGCTGTTTCACACACACACTTACGTGTGTGTATTTATTACCTTTAAGGCAGTTGGTTGCACTGGAATTTATTTGGGGATATTCAAGTATTCAATACATTTTTTTAAATGATCAAATCCATTTGTTTTTTTTAACCCCACTCTACATGATAGTTAAATTTTAATAAAAGTCAAACTGTGAAAAAGTCCCTGGAGTATGAATACATTTACATGGCATTGTGTTGTCTGGTTATAAGTTAACGTCATGGAGTACCTTGGTGGGGAAATAACGGCTTGTCTTAAATTCTTTCAGGAAGGCCGACATGAAGAACGTTGAAAAGAACAAGATGACGGACCAGAAGAGAACATCTGGGGTGAATGGGCCATGGTGCCCACAAGCTGTCCCAACAAAGTGCCCATGCAGGCTAATACACTCCTGCAGGTAAATGGAGAAAATAACTCAGATTTAGATATAAAACAATGCAGAGAACTCCTTATCTGATCTGTTAAGTTAAAATAATCAAACTGTATGAAAAAAGTTTATATTTTGCATAAGAAAAAAACAGTTGTTCGCAAATGGTAGTAGTGGTAACCCTACAGATGTCCTTCAAAAGGATTAACTGCTGATAGGAAGGTGAGCTTAAGTCGAAAGTTAACCAAAACAAAAGCATTGTGAAGCACTAGATTATACATTCAAGGTGAGGATACAGTCTCAATCTCTGAACCACGAAACCTATGTTAATATTTCTAATAGTCCCACATTGTTTTAAAAAAAAACTGGATAGTTTAACAATTCGACTCTAACTTGGGCTCTGATATGTCATGTTCTAACATTTTAGCTCACCCTTGTTTTTTGGAGTTCAGAACAACAAACCATAGCTTGGGTTTCTTTTTTGTCAATACCTTTTAAAGTCATATGAAAAACATTACATAGCTTTTAGTGATGCCATAGACATGATGATTTGTGGGTAAAGTTAGTATGTGATAAAAATATAGAGCCTACAGACAGACAGACAGACAGACAGACAGACAGACAGACAGACAGA